GAAGTAGATAGTAGCCGGGTTTAACTCCAAAATACCCATGAGATTTAACATAAAATATGCTGTGCTACAGCTTAAATTCCACTCCCTGTGGCTGCAGACATCCTCAGAAGATATCATATTCATCTTTTGTCCCCAGCTCCTGGCACAGGGTCTCATGCTGGGCATCCAAAAAATGTCTTCTGAATGGAACTTTGAGGGCGACAGGCTAATTGTTCTATTTTTTCTTACATTCTGCAACCATGGCTGTTCAATCACTTTGTAAAGCTCTTCTATGTTTGCATGCAGTTCTTTAAACATTTTACTTATGTTTAAATGCATCTGGAATGTGTTTTTTTGTGTAGCATGGTAATATGATTTTGCCCCACTACGAAATGCCACTTTTAATGTACATTAAACCCCCACTGATTTTGAATTGTTTATTCCTCCCTTCTGTTTGTCTCTTCCTGTATTAGTACCATACTGTTTAAATTACAGCAGCTCTTGACTGTACTTTAATATCTGGAAGGACAAATTCCCTCATATTTACTATTCCCTCATATTATTCTTTTAAGGTATGTTTTGACTTTTTTCACATTATCCTTCCAAATAAGTTTAATTTTTAATTTGTGTAAATAAACATACAAATAAAAGCAAAGTTGATTAGAATGATTAGAATTATGTCCAAATTAGACATATAATAATTTTTGGAAGACTGTTCTTTTTACAATACTGTGTCTTCCAATCCAGGAACATGGCATACCTTAATGTTTTCTGTTTTTATTTTACATTCAATAGTAGAGTTTTATGAATTTTCTTCATATTTATCCTATATATTGTTTGTTAGATTATTTCTAGATATTTTATTGTGTCTTGTTATAATAAATGGGAATCGTTCATTCCATCATACTAACATGATTAAGGAAAACTGCATTTGAGGAACATTCTATATTCAACCATTCTTGTTGAACTCTTTAATATTTATTCATCGAATCAACGTTTGTTGAGTACCCATTACAGGCTAGATATTTTCCTACGTACAGGGGCTTTAGTAAGGCACCACACAAACGCATATTAGGGAATACACTTTGCTGTAAACCTCCCTCTGCCCCCTCAACACCTTCAATGAGTAAAGCTTTTGTTTTTCTCACCTAATGTTAAGTCCAGAGTAGGCAATTCAGGGCTGTTGTGTGACTCTACAATGCCAAGACGGGTTCAGGAACTTTCTATCTTTCTGTCCAGCAGTCACTATTCAATGTCTGTCACTGTCTGACCTCCAGGACCTCCAACATTCTGTCCATATTCTGAGCAGGAAGGAGGGCAAGGGCAAAGGATAAAGAAAGTGTAATATCTGGGCCTGAAGTCTCCAGTGTTTCTAGTCTTTCTAAAAATTGCGTCCCCTGATTTTCTACCTACACTCACTGGCCAAGACTACACCACACGGCCACAGCCATGTCCATTAGTCATATTATGCTCTTCTCAGGTCAGAATTCTTTTAGTAAAAAAGGAGGGGAGGATTCTGAATAGGCACCTGGGTAGGCTCTGCCATAAGAGATTCCTGTCCTTCAGGAGATGTTCAAAGAATTTATACACCTTGGTAATCTTATTCAGCCTGTGGCTGTGGGTAGTTTTATGCTGCTGACTACCGACACTTCCGGCCCAGCCTTCTCTCCGGAACTTTAGGCTGAAAGAGCCTATTTGGCATCTCCCCTTAGATGTCTAATGAGGATCTCAAATTTAACCAGTCCTAAATCAAGTCCTTCATCAAAACAGTCCAAGACAGTCTTCTCATCTCAGTAGATAACAATTTCATCCTTCTGGTTGCTTAGGCCCAAAACCATCCTAGACTCCTGTCTATCTCACATCTTCTATCCAATACACCAGGAAATCCTATTTGGCTCTGCCTTCATCTTCCAAATACATCCAGTATCCCACCCCATCTCATCCATTTCTACCAGTAACATTCTTGTCCTAGTCACCATTATTTTATGCCTGCATTACTGTGACAGCCTCCTAAAATCTTTACCCACATAATCATTCCTGAAGGTTCAGTTCCTTGTCTTCCTCTTTTCTAATGATCTTATCCTGGTCCCCCACCTCTGCTACTTATTCCATGATCATTCCCTACCCTTTATAATTCCCCAGCACTGCACCCCAAAACCTTGTCATTTCAGAGTTAAGCATCCCACTGCTGACGTCCACTTTCACCCACTGTGTCCTCTGTTATCCCCACTCTAACATTCCTCCATCAGGACCTACAATCATTAGTCCTGTACTTTTTCACTGCCTCTCACATTCCCCTTATACTCTTGCTTTTCTTCTTACGGAGTTTAAATTCCATGGTCAACAATTTCTTTGTCTACATGCCCTCAACTGCTTGCCTTTTTGTCCATTTTACTTGCTTGGCAAACTCCCAAACCTGATTAGACCCACCCTTCCAACTGTGCCCACCCAGCTGCCATGGTGGAAGAAACATATATAAGCAAGTACACTGATCCTCCGCTTGACTGACCCTTACCCCTCAGTGGAACATTTAACACTGCCTGGAAGTCATATTCTCTTTCCCTAGGCTTTTCACTCTTTTATCCTTTCCTTTCCTTTTTCTTTCTTCTCATACCTCCAACTTCCTTTACTCTAGATCTTCAGGCTCCTATGATGACCCTCCTTTTTATTTCAATGAGAAAAATAGAAGCGACCCCAAGAGACCGTCAATGAGCTCCCATCACATGCTCCTACCTACATCTGGGCCCATATGATCTTCTCTTGTTGACACAGACAGACTGTTTGTATTTCTATCTCAGACTAGTCACTGTGCACCAGATTCTGCCCAAACTCATTCACTCAAGGATATCATTCCAGTGACTCTTCCCTGTCTCCTGTCTCAAATTTTCCAGTTTTACTAGCTCATTTCCATTTGTATATTATTTCTTCTTAAAAAATATAAGAACTCTCTCTGGACTTCATTCTCCCCTTCTAACCACTGTACTATTTCTCTTATTGCTTAACAGCCAAGCCTCCTGAACAAATTGTCTATATTCGCTATCCCCAATTTAACTCCTTCCAGTTTCTTTTAAACCCACTCCAACCAGGCTCTCACTCCCGACCATCCATCAGAAACAACTCTTATAAGGTCAACAAGATATCTGTCCTAGTTAACTTCTGGTTATCTTTCACATTTCAGGCAAACCGCACTGAAACATTTTCTGACATTTCTGACTAGGTAAACCTATCTACTACATGCTGTCACCATTATATTGCTCATCCTGCTTGTAATTTTATATTTGTATGTGATTTCTCGGTTAATGATTCTTTTTTCCTCAGCAGACTCTAAGTTCCATAATGGTAGGGATGATGTCTATTTTTCTATCATAATTGTATGGTCAGTGTCCAGTACCATGCTGGCACTCAGAAGGCCACCAATAAATTATGGGAGAATAAATGCGTTATTACCGTCATCCCCATTTTAAACTTGGGAAAAGGAGGCCCAGAGAAGTAAAGACTATTAGATCAAAAGCACATTGTGGATTATCGGTAGGATAGGGACTGGGGTTAATTGAACATACTAACCACCAAGCGCCATGCTACATTCTAGGGGTACAAGATGAATGAGACATGCCCCACTTTGCCCAGGCTAGGCCTTATAGAGCTTCCACCATGTTTGGGCTAGAGAGGACAAAGCATACAACCTACTGCAGTATCACATTCTCCTTGTGTCTACAAGGGCTTACTACCAGGTCAACGGAGCTGCTTCCACTGCTCTGGTTCTGGTGTTCAAAGTGGCCAAGGAGAAGGCCTCTTCCAAAGAGCATTTGTTTGACTACATATGGTGATAGATGTTAACTAGATTTATTATGGCAATTATTTTGAGATACATACAAATACTGAATCATATTGTATACCTGAAACTAATATAAAGTTACATGCCAATTATGCCTCAATTTAAAAAAAAAAAAGCATTTGTTTGAAATTACATTGCAAGATTCACAATAAGACTTTCTGGGTACATATTACTCATCACTGATCTACATATTATGAGCCAGGAAGAACACTGGAAGGAGTAGGAAGGTCAACTCCATTGTCACTTGAAGACCAGTAAGAAAGAAAGGAAAGCATTTCAGAAATGAAACTGTCAGGAAAACAAGCCTTGAGTTACACAACTCTTAAGGGAGCTACTGTATTAAAAACATCTATGTACAACCAGTTGGAAGACTCAATATTTTGAGATTAGCAAGCTACCAGGCAGAACTGCCAATAAACACAGTCCAATTTACCACTCTGCAAGGGACTATACTACTAAGATGATCATATGATTTATTATGAACAATGGGGCAGTTTGGGAATAAAAAGAAGTACAATACCAGGACAGTGAGTGTTTACTAGGATTGTCCCAGGCTAAAAAGCAGGACTGATCACTCTCTTTAGTAAGCATCCTCCACTCATTACACATGGAGAAAACCAGGTACTCATTTAGTCATGCAATTGACTCCATTAAGCCAATTAGCCAGAGCAGCTAGAATGGACAAGACCCCAGTCCAGTGTGGCTCTATTTAAATAATTTTGACCCTGAATGGTCATGCTAATACTTACCATCTTCATTGAATAAAAACAGAGTTAAGAGTCACTTGCTGGGGCACCTGGGTGGCTCAGTGGGTTAAAGCCTTCTACCTTCAGCTCAGGTCATGATCCCAGGGTCCTGGGATCGAGCCCCGCATCGGGCTCTCTGGGCAGCGGGGAGCCTGCTTCCCCTTCTCTCTCTCTCTGCCTGCCTCTCTGCCTACTTGTGATCTCTGTCTGTCAAATAAATAAATAAAATCTTAAAAAAAAAAAAAAAAAGAGTCACTTGCTTTATCTACTTGTTTTTCTAGCCCCTTCATACCTGATCTACAGTCAATCTTTAGGAAGGCCATTTCTTTCTCCATTTGAAGTTTAGTCCTAATGCTTAAGAAAGAAAATGCCTTCTGTGCTAAGTAAAGTCAAACTGAATGCCATTCTTCAAGTTTCCAGAGGTTTCCCTCTTGCCCAAAGGCACAGTTGGCTTAGATGAAATTTGCATGAATATGTGCACATCTTTAATCAAGAAGGACTCCTAGGTCATTCACTGAATCAACATAACAAAAACAAGGTCACTATCCACAGAACTTTATTGTAGGGATCAACACATATATACTTCTTGGAAATGTTCTGCGCCATTCACTTGATGGTTACAAACACATCAGGACCTATCTAATTGGCATCTTTTTTATTTGCTTGTCAAGAGAAAATCATGAATCAAGTCCAAAAGTCCTGATTAAAAAAATCTGTAAAACAGGAGGGCTAACCACTGCCTGCCCTACATCAAGAAACATTGTACAATTCAAATCAAGAAAAGAATTCCATACAAGTCCAGCAAGGCAAGCTGGCAAGTAGAAATGAAACGACAATCTGTTATACAAAATGCAAAAGGAGTCAAAGATGAAGTACAAAAAATAAAATTTGGGTCAGAAAATCATTACTAAATAAAACCACATGAGGATGTCTATTAGTTATTTTCTTTAAGGGGAAAAGAAATTGAGCTGTTAGTTTCCTACTTGTTCAGAAGGAAAAGTAAGGAAAGTGTTTGAAATATACTTCTGATATTGAGTGAATCCTTTCTCATCTGCTACCTAGAAGTCACAAACACCTGACTTATTCTTGCCCGTCTCTAGAAATGAGAAAATAAAATCAGTGTTTGAGCTTTAGTGCGACACTCACAACACCCGAATGAGGTCCAGAGTAATCCTCGATCGGGGGATGTCAATGTTGAGTACTTGGACTTCCACTCTTTCTCCAGGGCCCAGTCCAAGACTCCTTCTCTTCTTTGTTTTAGAAAGTTTTGCTTCTGTTACATTTCGTATGGGAATCAGCCCTGATCTCCCCACTCCTATATCTACAAAAATTCCAAACAGAGTAGCATTCTCGACTTTGCCTGTGAGAACTGTCCCAACCTGCAGGTCTTCCAAGCAGACTATGCTTCTCTTGAAATCAGGTTTATCAAAATCTGTAACAAAAGGGGGGAAAAAAGACAGTGTAAATAGTAGGTACATACTTCCTAGACACAATATACATTAGTAAATATGCCCAGACCACGAGTTAGCATTGAGAGGGGACATAAAAGGAGCTGAAATCCAGGCTTGCTTTCAGAGAAAATGCATCTTAATTGGAGAAGAGCATTTACCTGGTAGGAACAATACGAGAAAATTTACTCATTTTCTTCTCCTCAAACTCTATCTCATTAGCATGCAAACATTAGCACTATACATAAGGATTGAGAAGCCTAGAGTTTTATTTTCCTCTTTATGAGGAGGTGATGAGAAAATATCATTGCTCAATGAATATATAAAGCCAAATCACAAACAATAAGAAAGTTAAGACCTTTAAAGACAGAAAATTGGGATTTTTTTCTTCCAGTACCTGAATTCTCAAACTGTTTAAAGGTGGCAGAAAGTACATCAACATTTGGTCAAATGTAAATGAAATTAAAATGTTATCTTCCATTTCCCACCACGAATTTGGAATTCAGGAATCAATTTCTATCCATTTTGAATATACGTGGCCAATCAAAACTTAATACATTCTTGATTGTCTACAGCTCAGAAACCCAGATCAGCCAGTTCCTAATTTTCTTTCTCCTTTTTCAGTTTAATTCATTAAACATTTATTAGCTCCTGGTATGATCTCCTATGCGGGCAATCCACTCGTGCTAGAGATACAAAGATGAAGACACACAGATCCCTGCTCTCAAGTTCCTTACAACCCTATTTTCTTATTGGCCACAGTGTACATTTCCCTGTTCATTAACACCAGCGCCCCCCACCGCCCCAAAGTGAGTATAAAGCATACCAAGGAATCATGGCTCTAGTAAAAACAAAACAAAAACAACAAAAGTTTTATGAGGGGAGCCTGGGTGGCTCAGTGGGTTAAAGCCTCTGCCCTCCGCTCAGGTCATGATCCCAGGACCCTGGGATGGAGCCCCACATCGGGCTCTCTGCTCAGCGGGGAGCCTGTTTCCCTTCCTCTCTCTGCCTGCCTCTCTGCCTACTTGTGATCTCTGTCAAATAAATACATAAAATCTTAAAAAAAAAAAAAGTTTCATGAGGGAGAAGGGTAGTACTAACAGTCTAAATGGGGCTTTTGGGTTATCTGTGGATTCCATTTTCCCATGCTCTTGTTGGCCCCCTTTCCTAGGATTACTGAATGTTGATTCTAATAACAAAGAACATTCTATGCTTGGATCTCCTTTTACTAAGGCCTCATTTTCCCTCCACCCATCCCACTTCCTTTTCCTCCACAGCTGTTGGCTTGATCCTGATTACTTGTTAAAGCTATCCTTTACAGTTGTATTAACAACTGGCCACCTCTCAGTTCCCCTCCCCCAGTCCACCTATCCTGAAATCAAGTTTTTTTTTTTTTTTCCCCTAAATTCACCCTTTTCCCATAAAACAAACAAACAAACCCTTTTTAAACCTCAAATCTCATTTTCCTCATAAAAAAAGGAATATGCAAAAACTGGAATTGATTCTGTACAATTTTCCCTGACACCAAAGTAGTAGATTCCAAAAGCAAAAAACCTGTTGTAATATTACACTAGGCAGACACTGTGTCAAAGCAAAGTGAAACTAAGTCATTGATCAGGGCAGAGGTAGATGGTCCCTGAGGTCTCATAGGCATTGTTTTTATGCCTGGAAATTCTTTTCTCTTATAGAGGTCCAGCTGCTACAGATTCCCCAAGGGTTCCTGATCAGCTGCTTAGTTTAATTTTGCATGGAAAATCAGAGTCAGGAACTACTTAACATGTTCCTGAAGACAGCCTGGGCCACTGAGAAATCAGAAAATCCTCCATGTACCAGGCAAACTTTAACACTTTGATTGCCAAGGCTACATAATCAGTCAGCTGTCACTAGGCTGCTTCTGATGAATTCAAATATAGAAACTTAATAGGCAACCAGAGTGCTAATAAAATAGAATCAATTTTGTTAGAAGACAGGATGAGTTCAGTGAAAGAAAGAGGCATCAAGGAAGGAAATACTTTTGAGAAAATGAAGAAAAGGAAAGATGTAACATTTAAAAATACTGTAATGAGGAAACATCCAAAATACTATCTGCCTCTTCAAAAATATGACTGTTTGTCTTCCCCCCTAGGGATAGTTTTAGTATTAAAATAAAAGCTTTCAGACAGTCCAATTTTGAAAATTGTGACTTACACTAGGGCAAAGGTCAATTCCAAAGTGAGTTTAAAGAGACTTATTTGAAATTTCACTTGTCACAATGATAAACACTGCAGTAACTGGTAAGCTCAGTCCAGAGCCCAGGTGCATCTGTGTTTCTGCTCACTAAGGGCAAGACAAGGTGAGGACCTCTACTTAGCAGTTGGTTGTTTAATTGAACCGTATAATCTGAATGTTGATTTTCGCTCTGAGTCTGCAGTATAACCAGGATAACGGAGCAATCAACACCAAGACAAAAACGATCAAGGAAACCCAGTATAGGAGGCCTGCAGTAGAGAGAGCATACTTACTCATCTTCTAATGGTGTCCTAGGCATACCAGCCTCATAGCCCACACTGTTGGAGAACCATTGCTCTCCTTAGTATCCTGCTAAACAATACCCAGGGAATTCACACACAAGGGCATCAGGCCCCTAAACAGGGATGGACTTGTCTACTGAAACATCCATTTTGGATGGACCACCCTGGAGGCTCCTGTTCCCACATTTTTGTCATAGATCTTATTACATATTTTTTTCCAACTTAAAAAAAAATAATTTCTGACTTACAGAAAAGTTGATGGAATAGTATAATGAACTTACTGGGTATTTGTTTTTTTTTTAAGTTTATTTATTTTTTAGTAATCTCTAGCCCCATTATGGGGCTTGAATTTACAACCCAGAGATGAAGAGTTGACTAAGCTAGCCAGGCGCCCCTTACTGGGTGTATTTTTAAACTCCTTTAAACCTTTTCACAAAGAAGCATGCCTAACCCACTCAACAGAGCCTAACTCAGCCTAAACATGGTATCCTAAAACTGACTGTGAGACTGAGACAAGTGCAGATTCATTTAAAACTCAGAGCTTCTATTCAAATTTCCTTAGGAAGTGGGTCACTTAATACCTTAGTTCTTTTTTATTGGGCCATTGCTCTCAACAACTATGTCTGTTACACTTCCCTCATCATCTACCTACACTGAAAGCTGAGAGCTCTTTTAATTAGAAGGAAAATCAACAGAGAGATAGTATCTTATTTGTTCAATGTGTTCACTGACATAGAATCTAGGAACTTGGAAGTCTGCAATTTAGCAAGAAGATTCACTTTTTAGTTTATGAACTGCATACCTTACCTTCGACTTCCGGCTCCTACAAAATAAGAAGAGCTTACAAAAGGATTATGAAAAGTGTGTGCCTCCATGCACACAACAGCCAATGTGTGAGGCATTTAGTCTAGTGTGATGGAAAAAAAGCATGGGACAAGGAGTCGGGAAACCTGGCTTCTTGTTTTGGCTCTGGATACTAACCAACTGCAATGACTTTGAAGACAGGGCACGATGCTTCAGTTTCTGCACGTACAGAATGGATAATAATTTCAGTTTTGCCTGCAACAGAGGTTTGTTGTGAGAGCCACAGAAGACAATGTGGCATATGTAAAGGCAAGGTGCTATTATTCAAATTTAATTATTTACCTGTTCGAAAGTCAAAGCTTTCAGGCTGGCTGAGACCATCTATGATGACTTGTAAAGTGTGAACTGTTGTTTGCACACTTTCTGCAATTTTCTCTATTCCTTCCTTTTCAAGGAATGAATTTATTTTTTGTTCCATTTCAGGCTTTCCAATATCATGCAGTGTCCCTTTGATGAATGACAAAAACCTGCAGGGACAAAAAAACCCCAGCACTTATTAATAATAATACTACTTATTTTCCAAACTCTCTATACAGGTCACCCTAAAATTCATTCATCTCAGATCCATATATCATCAATCAACTGATCAATCAGTCTTAATTAAAAATCTTTTGTGTCTCATGGCATAATGAATGACCTGTCTTAGAAAAAAAAGGAGGGGACGGACTTAGGTTCTTGGGCTCTTTTCCAAAGAAGCACCTTCTCAAAATCAACATCAGAAATGCTTTACAGTGGAATGTTCATTAGAGTTTAGCGTCAAACATATTTTCTTTTTTTTTTAAGATTTTATTTATTTGACAGAGAGAGAGAGATCACAAGTAGGCGGAGAGGCAGGCAGAGAGAGAGAGAGAGAGAGAGAGAGAGAGAGAGAGGAGGAAGCAGGCTCCCCCACTGAGCACAGGGCTCGATCCCAGGACCCTGGGATCACGACCTGAGCTGAAGGGAGAGGCTTTAACCCACTGAGCCACCCAGGTGCCCCTCAAACATATTTTCTAAATAAGGATACCTGTGTTTATCTCATGTTTCCTAAATTTGAGTTAGGAATACTCAAATACTTAAATTAGCTAAGACGCAAACAGTGAACTGATGATTTCAAAGTCCAGAAAAATATCCAGTAAGCATTGCCAGCTTTCTGACAAATGCAAATCTGTTATTCATGTGCCGTATCACTGCTTTTTACTTTTGAACACCTCTGATGACAGTTACCTGTGCAAGCATTCTGTCAGCCTACTAATTCTCAAATTCCATGGACAGTAAAGCTTCACTGTGGATTAAACTGTATCAGGTATATTAAGTATTCAGAGTCCACAGGAAAAATATGGGAGGGGATATCAAAAAGAAAAAGTAACTTGCTTATAAAAATGGAAGGTGTGGAAGCAAGTAAGACCTTAATTACATAATCTTGAGATGAGTATTATTTTTATATACTATATAAATTACTGCTGCAATATTCACAAAATAAAAATATCTGCCTTTCTCCATTTCCCTTTGCAATGTTTACCATTTCCCTTGCTTGCTGCCTCTGAATTACTTAGCTTTGGAATTCAGTAATAAGTTAATTAAGAAAAAAAGAAAGGGTTAAGCCATTTCCCCCTTCAATTTCATCTGAATATTGGGCTGTAGCTTACTTTCTTGAGAGTTCTTGGCTGGGTATTTTTCGACATCACTAAGTTCCATTTCCTATGATTAATGGCACTTTAAACATGTCAACACAGTAATCAGACAGATAGTGATACTAATGCCCTCAAATCCTTTCCTCTAAGGATGTCTCTGGCATACAAGAAGGGAAAAAGGAAACTGTTGGAGGCTTGTCCGTCATCAGAACTAGGATGTATCCCATTTGGCAGGTTGCTACATTATCACGAAAGGAATGCTTTCATTTCCAGTCTTTAGGCTGTTGTGCTCAACCAGAAGAGCCTCTTCAGTGATTATGCAGTCCTGGTCTGGCATCTGGTGGAGAACGCACTCTCATCTCTCAACTCAGGGCATCCTTTTGGGTTCAAATGGACAATCTTGCTACATTTCCAACCATATATTTAGTCAAAAACCTAGATTCTCCGAAATCCCAACAACTCTCTTGAGAATATATTTTGGTTAGTAGTCTAACAGAAGACCAAAGAATTAGTGCTTGCTATCTCTTTTTGTAATGAGCTTCCGTTCAAATTGGTGGCCAGTGAGACATACAATGTAAGTCTGTGTGTCCACGGCTTCCACAGCTCAACGGAGAGGCAGCCAGTGTCTGTACTGCTATTGGACAAGCAGTAGCACATAAGGGCCCTGGTGACAGGGAACAGCTGCTGAAGCTCTGACGGGACAGATGACACATGTCAACTTCTGCCCACAGCCAACTTCTCTGCACAACTTTCTCAATAATGCATGCCCTGCTGAGCAGGCTTCCCTGGTATTTATCCTCTTGGCTTGATCGGTCTGCAACTAGCTATTCAGTAAAATATCTTTCAAATCCTCAAGATTCTGGCTTACAATCAACTGTTAAAATGCCAAAGCATATTCATGGGCTGTAAATCTATAACCCCGAATGGCATTTCATAATTAATGAAAGTTAACTAAATGGCAGAAAATTCCCAAATCACTGTATAAGTCTTGGCCTCAGTAACAAAAACACTGGCTCAAGAGGCTGTTTGGAGTCTTAAGGTTGTGTGTGTATGTGAGAGAGAGAGAGAGAGAGAGAGAGAGAGAGAGAGAGACACTAACTGCTACCAAAGTCACTTCCATATAAAGAATTCTGTTTATAGTGGTTGCAGATGTAAGAAGAAAATTGGTCTGTTTAACCTGGGTGCCTATTTCATATATCATTTTCATTCTCACATACAGAAGCCTGAGGGCACTGGTAACTGAAATCGATAAAAAAGTACCAAATTGTGCTCCTAGCTAACGCTTCATATTGATCAACCCTATTTTTAAATGACTATGGAACAAAGTCAAATGCTACTTTATTTTGAAAACTTTCTTAAAGTTACAACGGGCTTACAGAAAAAGGAAAATAGCAAAAACCAAAGAGGGGAGGGACTATAAAATGAACTGGGAACAGAATTCAGATCAACCTCTACCTTCCTGGATTTCAAATATATTCAACCGTAAATGACCGGAAACAATGCTTTACACCTGGTAATCACTCAAGAAACATGCAATCTGTAGAGAGCCTAAGAAAAATTTATTCTGAATTTTCTGAATTTTGGCCCTGGAATTAAGGGTGATAAGTAACATGCAATACAGAGTTTCATTTTAGAATTGGGTATGTTAAATCACACTCAATATAAAATGCTTTCTGCCTCGAAAATACCATATAAAAATAAACTGCATTTTATTAAAGCTTGGAACCCAGTACCTACAAGTAAGTGCTGGGCATTAGGTGAGTGCTTGATAGAGGTGTTCATTCAATCCTAACAAGAATCCTAAAAGCTGGGTGTCCTATCATACAGAAAAGAAAAATTGAGGTTCAGGGAAGTTAAATAATTGGCCCAAGGCCGCACAGCTATTTTCACGGACTACAGTTTCATGCCATATACATCAGTGTGTGTCTGTTTATAACTGCAGTCACATCAAAATCAGTGATATGTTAGATTAAGATATAAAACATAATACTTCTGGCAACATTTCACCAACACGATTTAGTGGCAGATTAGTTTTAAATAGGAGACAGCTAATACCGATAAATTCCACAAAGAAATGACTATATAAATGCGCTTATGTAGACAATTCTCTCAAAAGTCGATGAGTTGTTAAAGTCATAGCATCATTTTCTCCACTGTCTCTACAGGGTTTTTTCAGCTTGCTAAGGACTGCGGCCTGAGCTCCTGTTTTTATTTAATATGTAATTTCATCCATCTTACTTAAAGTAAGAAAGTAGCATAAATGAAACAAATAAGCACATCATGTCCTTTTAGCGCACATCTGCACAAAGTTAAAATACAGACCTTGCAGCAGAGAGTTTTTCAAGGAGAATGCTTATATAACCTAAAATCTCTGATATTTCCTACAGAAACTTGTTACTAATGCAATGCTTTTCCCCTTTGGATAAAGTCTTTGTAAGATCCTTCCCAAAAAATAAGAAATTCTCAAGCTTTGTAAGACTTCAGATATACCCATTCAGTATGGGAGCCCAGGATCAGGTTCTCTACAGTAAAGTACTGTGAGACCCCACAGAGCACAGAAGAACCACAGTAATGCAAGCCCATCACTTTAAGAACAACTTACTATTAGCACGTGCTTGGGCGGGGTGGGGGGGCAACAGACAGCAGAAAGAACTGCGTTGTAAGGGCAAGGTGCCTATGGCTGGCTACCCATTCTCAACAGTTCCAATAGAGACTTTCATACTTTTATCCATTAGTTTTACTCAGTTGTAATTATATCAATAAATAAAACATTCAATGCAAGAGCAGAGTCATTTTATAAATAAGCAGGTACAGACAAAGCAGGTCATAATTTGTAATTCAGGGAGATGCTCAGTGATCTAAAAAGAGAGCTTGTACTCTAGCGAGGAAACCCGGACCTCTTAACTGAAACTATAGAGTAAGTGGTGGGACACAAATGAAAGTTCAGGAATAATCTGTTAACACAAAAACCACAGATTCAATATGTACTTTTAAATCTACTGGTCTTAATATTAAAGACTAAATATAAATTCCAATGTGGCAAAAAAAGACCCGTTGCTCCTTTCACACCACCTACAGGGAGCTGAATTTACACACGGGAATGCACAACAGCACACATTTAGTTCAGCTTAAAGAGATAGTGCCGGCTTTACCACATCTGCTGTCTCAGCAGCCACGTCAAAGGGGCAGCAACGTGAGTTGCACTTTAATCATCAAAGAATCTTTTCAAACTTTTAACTTCTTTGTGAAACCAAGACACTGAACTGGGCCAAAATCCTTAAAAAAAAATCTTTGCTTGTGCAAAATCTACAAGTACTGGTAAATCCATGTAGAATGCAAGGACATTTTGGAACAACGTACCACATTGCAGAAGCTGGTAGGGTCAGTGAAGGCAATGTTTAAATGGCTTTCCTGAGAATGTAATCTACCACAGAAATTGACAGCAAGCAATTTTTCACAAGAACTTACAGCTAATTGGCTTTTGAAAACTGCAGATAAACTTTTAATAATGCAATCCTTTCAGAAAGGATAAAGGAATTGTTCTGAAAACCCTTACAGACTTTAATGTGAGAGTATAGTTTTAAATGGGGTGCAGCTATCCACGCAGCAGCCGGGGACATCTTTACCCACATTGGTTTGGTATCACGTGGAGGGTCTTTGGAGCCCTTCCTGCATCTGAGCACTTCCTGCATCTGAGCACTTCCTGCATCTAAACACACCCTGGCATCTAAACATACTCTTGCATTTATGAGTAGCAGGAAAACAAAACAAAAACAAAAACAAGAGGAATTGAAAGGAAGAAGCTGTGATAGATTAGGAAATGCAGTTTGTCTTCCAAAAGACTTGGTTTATAAGCATCAGACTGTTACCTGCTTCTAACTTCTGAAGAACTTACTAATGTTTCCTTCTTTTTCAAAGATCTGGTGTACATGCACAGAAACTGGATACAGCATGCATGCTGTATTAATTGTACATAGGAGGACATATCCTTAGCTGTTTTATTTTAGCAATTTAGTATAGGGAATTGGCTTTATTAAAAAAAATGCCAGTTACAATGTGCTTATATATTTGCACCACACTTAACATCTAAGATCAGTGAAAATAATAAGCAGTGCCACAAAGAGTAAGCAGTAGTGATTTAAAAAAGATTTATCCATTTATTTGGGAGAGAGAGAGAGAGAGAGAGCGAGTATGAGCAGGGTGAGGGGCAGAGTCAGAGAATCCTCAAAAAGACCCACTGTTGAGTGCGAGGCCTGACACAGGGCTGGATCCCAGGACCCCGAGATCATGACTTGATCCAAAATCAAGAGTCAGTTACCCCCCAGGCACCCTGTAGTATTGATTTTTATGTAGCTTTTCCTATTTCAGACCCACTTGCTAGGTTATGGTACACTGTGTGATGATAATTAAAACTATAATTAAAAAACCCAAATGTGTATACATATACATCGAAATGAGCATGAGTACATAAAAATCGGAAAACATCATGTATTGAAATGATGTGATTACTACCCTAAAACTTTCTAAAATCCTGTTTTAGGAACAGCTTTAGAAATAAATTTATAAGCAACAAAGAAAAATTAATTTTCTTACATTTTTAAAACAACACCCCCCCTCCAATAAAAAGAACCAGAGAAAACCCCAACAACCCTATATACTCGGCTTGATCACCCTCCTTCCATTGAGTCTGGTTGTTTTAAACACACACATACACATACCCTTAAATGATAAAAATCTGCTAAAATATCAAGGCTCTTCCAAGGAATGTGACAAAATTGAAGCATTCTGAAGCATCTGAAAAAATAAATTAGAAAAGCATACTCAGCTTTCTTCATTAAGCATTCATTTACTGTGGAAGAAGACTATGGAAGATGGTAACAGAGCTTGTGCCTTGAATGAGCTTATGGAGTCTTATTTTAAGCAATGACAGTATGTCAGAATAAATATTCTTCCACTTACATCTGTTCTTTTAAGAGGTAGGATTTTATATGCAGATAAGCACACTTTCAAAGTGCTCAATGAAGATGATTTCATTTAATTCTCTCAAAAATTTATTGTGGAGATATATTTGCAGATAAAGGAATCAAAACTCTGATAGATTAAATGATCTGCCCAAAGTCACACAGCTGAGACCACAAGGTTGTAGGTAAGGTAAAAGCTGTCATAGATCATCTCTTCATTAACACTCCTTAACCCTTTACTTTGGGGAATATTCAGTGCAGACAGAAGATTTCGGTCCTAGATAAAATTTGGCATCCAGGACCACTGCCTGGGAACAATTTATTATTATTTTTCAAACCAAATTCAAAAGGAAAAAGTTTGGCTCTTTTTGAGTTACTCAGTAAGAATTGGACAAAATTAAGTTAGTGGTTTCAAAGGCTGTAGACTCTCTACAGCTCAAAAACACTGTGTTTAGAATTCATATAATTTAATTTACTGGCTGTAAAGCCATAACGTGGATTAGTGCTTGTGAGTATTTGAAAGAAGAGGGCAAATAAAAAAGTGGTACTCAAAACCACTAGGCTCCTAAGATGGTGGAGCTGGAATTAAACAACTCTGGCACTACTAGGGTATAAAGCCTAGGTATCAGAGGAAGGACTGTTTTCCTTGGGAAAACAGCCTTTCTACAATGAGTTTGGTCCTGTCAAAGAATCCTCCTTTCAAGGATTTGAAAATGCTTAACATCTGTCATTTCCATAAAACCCCTGGTTGCCTCTGAATGGGCAGAGACATTTTTATTCCATTTAAAGACTATGCAATTGAGGTCAAAGTAATTTGCTTATGGTCACACAGAAAGTTAGAAGACAGGCTAACGTTAAAATCCACAGTGAGACAGGACGGGAAAGGGAGGAGGGAGATAATGGGACACTAGATCAATACCCTACTGAGTTTCAGGCTCCAGAATGAGTGATCTAAGCCTGAAGAAGAGGAGAGAAGGAGAGGGCCAATACTCTGGAGATGAGAGAGACTGAAGCAAGCACATCGCTGTGGCTGGCTGGCAACTCCCGGCCACTCCTCCTCCACTGGGTGCTAACAGGCTGTTCCACATACGAAGCAGAGAAACCACAACATTTTCTCTAGTCCCAAGACCCAGTGTTAATGTAATTAACAATGTTCGATGACCCAAATTATAGCCGATCACATGGTAAAACAATTTTTCCCTGGGAGACCATTAGTTGTAAACCACACCCCCCTTTTCTTTAATGGCTACGCTTGACAGCTCCTCTGCAATCACAACAAAAATAACAGCAATAAGGGGGCGTCTGGCTGGCTCAGCTCTAAGAGCATGTGACTCTTGATCTCAAGGTCATGGGTACGAGCTCCATGTTGGGCGTAGAGATTACCTAAATAAATAAATAAATGAACTTAACAATACGTCAGTAAGAATAATTACAGCAACAACAATAGCTTACTTTGCCCCGGGTGCTAAGAATTTTAGATATATTAATTCATGTCATCCCATGAAGTAGGTACTATTATTATCCTCACTTAACAGACAAGGAAACTGTGGTACAAAGAGGTTAAATCACTTTCCCAGCTCAAACAGGCATGATTTGAACCTAGGCAGTCTGGTATTATACTGCTTCCAGAATGAGCAAGGGGAAAGTCAGGCAGTACCTAGAATTCTTCAACTTCCTAGTTTTCTCTACCAGCCTTTCCTTGAACTTCATGGCAGGGTAGTGGGGGCTGGAACAGCACGTAAGACATGAGACATGACAGTCAGTTGCTAAGAACCCCAGAGCTTAGTCAAGTGGGTAGATTCTCTTTCATCATTTTTCTCTTTTGTGAAGGCACTTTTGAAAATATGATAAATGCTACTTCCTGGGAATTACAGTATGATGTTTTTGGGCTTTACGAACAAGAAGAAAAAAAATCACCTTTATAATCTGCCCATTTATCATCTTTATAGTTTAGGTTTGGCTTCCCTTTCATGATGCTGGGCCTCTTCCTGAAAAGGCCGTCTATGGCTGTCTAATCATAGCTCCATAGGAGCTATGGAGGTGGGTAACTGACTGAAAAACATGCTAAGACATCACTTACCAAAAGTCAGCAATGATTCTGCCTTAATTTTCATGTCCGAATGCTGCCAACTCTTGTGGGCAAGTCCAGAAAAATGTAAGACCTTTCAAATTTGCAAATAATTTCTTACATCTGTTTACCTAATCTTCACTTATTATATAGAATTTGTAGTTGGGTTTCTTTTCAGGCAAGCTTCCCACAAAGAAACATGTTTTTATCATTGCAGAAGTTAGCTGGCATGCGAATGCAGAAGAAAACTGTGGTGAATTTTAGATGTGCAGAGGTGTGCTAGGTATATTCAGTAGGCTAAGTGACTTACTACTCAGAAAAATTACAAATCACCTCAAGTCATGCGCCTTCTGGGTTGCTCCTGGTCAAAACTACGAATATCAAATCTGTGAATATCACTGCTGTACTGCTGCTGCTGTGGGATTTTTTTTGTTTTTTTTTTTGTTTTTTGTTTTTTTTGTTTTTTTTCTTTTCTTTTTTTTTTTTTTTAATTTATTTGACAGAGAGATCACAAGTAGGCAGAGAGGCAGGCAGAGAGAGACAGGAGGAGGAGGCAGGCTCCCTGCTGAGCAGAGAGCCCGATGCGGGACTCGATCCCAGGACCCTGAGATCATGACCTGAGCCGAAGGCAGAGGCTTTAACCACTGAGCCACCCAGGCGCCCCTGTTTTTTGTTTTTTTAAAGAACAATCTAAACTCCCTGCGTTACAGCTGTTTATTAGCTGAAAGACTTCCTTCCTTGTTGGGCAGAAAGCTAAGTTTGGGAAGAGTATGACAAAACCCTGAGTGCAATTCTAAAAGAAGACTTCTGATATGCTAAATCCTTGAACAGGAATGGGAAAAAAACAGAGGTTAAGATGCGCTCACTCATTAAAGGTCTTCAGCACGGGGCACCTGTCACTCTCTGGCTTGACTTATTGTAGCTCTCTGGCAGGGAGCAAGGCAGGACCTCTACAGAGGCTCCCCAAACCCTAGCCCCAAATACTTTTAGACTATGAGAATGGCTGGGATCCATTTAACCATTTATCTCATCACAGAATTCTGTGTATCTATTGACTTAATTTTACTCGTTTGTTTCTCTTTTTCCCAGCTTTACTGAGACACAGTTGACATAAAACATTGTATAAGTTTAAGGTATACAACCAGTTGATTCCATATACTTACATAACTACAAA